AAACTTTCAGGTAAGTGCTCCCAGTAAGTTTTTCTTTAATATCTATACTTCTTGCTATTTGATTCATGAAATGCCTCAGATTTCTGAAACTGTATATAAAACTATCCCCTCAATAACAGCAGAGAAGTAAAGTGCTACAGCTACTCAGTTTTAGGATTACTCAGTTTTTCATGTCTTCAGCTCTTTATGGTTTTATTACTTCAGAAGCTGATTTGGCTGCCTTGGTTTCAAATGAGGACAGGATACACAGTACCAGAAGACATATTGTGTCTGTTCCAAAAATATATGTAGAGACTTCAAATAAATCTTAATTTAAGAAAGGCGTAAGAGAGAATGCCATGATTCTTCAGCCAGTAAAACAACACAGATAACACAATTAGCTGGCTGGTCTGGAAAATTGTAATGCTGATGTGCTCTAATGAAATGAAACAGAGACCGTGCTTGCTCTGCTGGCTGAGTGGGCTGATTCCTGCTCCAGTGTGGTTTCTGGAGGCAGCTACATCTTCAGGAGGCTGTCTTGTCCAATCACTTGCACGCCAACAGCCAGGTGCTTTTCTGGTTCTGCTCTATCTTACAGGAATCCTAGAATCTGAGGTTTAGAAAAGAAAGAAATCACCTAAACCTGCTCATGGTTTCACAGGTTACTGCTCTGTTCCACAAAGAAGAGGGATGAAGCTTTACCAGTTGTATGCATCCACATTCCAATTGAGAAAAAGCTTGAAGAATATTTTTTAAGAATATTGTTAGCAATACAAAGGTCACAGAAGTTACTCCAGCTGTCTGCAATAACAGCTGCACTTATCACTATTCAAGCCACAGCATCAACTGGTTTTTTAATTACTTGAAATTACTTCTCCAAACCAACTTTTTTTCTATTTTTTTGAAATACCAGTGGAGTAAAATATGGTTCATCTCCCAGTGATGCAAGCTCATAGGTGTTGTACCAGTTGAGGCCCAGGGTAGCTGAGCATATGCACATGCACCACTGAAGTCAATTAAACAGAAGTTCAGCTATGCCACATGCTGATTTCACTCTGAGCCCTTAGAACTGCTTCAGAAGAGAAAACAAGTTTTGGATTCCAAAGCAATTTAGAGTAAATGAGAAGTGACAAAATTTAGTTGGTATGAGTATCTCATAGCCATAAAGGAGCTGGGATTGCTGCACTAAAAGGTAAGAAACAACTGTAGGGAAAATAACCAACCACAACATTGCTTGGAAAAAATAAGTGGATGCCTTCAATTCTGCTATTTCAAACCTCTGTAGCAGGAGGGCATCTGCTTTCTGCTGACTGAAAGGTCTTGCAATGCATTTATGGCTAATTTTTTTACATGCATCAGATTAAAATGGACATTCCACCTGTGTTTTCATCCTACTTCCTCTGGCCCCTAGCAATTTAGCACTGAAATATTTGTGTGTAGTTATTTCCAACTGTGATTTCCAATTCCTATTACATTTATGAAGAAATGGTGATTTGAAGCTCTACAGTATAAGATGCAGTTATTCTTACTTCCCAGCTGTTATGCTATAGTAACATATTAATAGCATAACAGCTACATATGTATAGTAGCATAACAGCCAGTGTGGTGGTAATGATGCTACCCGCAGCACCTCTTTATAGTCTCCAATCTTATCATTGTCCTAGGTAAAGCTTAGACTTGCCATCCTTTCCATTTCAGAGCCCAGACTCTGAGGTGGCAGAGAAAAGAGGCTCAGCAATAGGAAAGTTGTTGCCTTTAATTTAAATCACAATGAAGACTCTAATTGTAGCTCAAGGAAGAGTCTTTTAAATAAACTCATATGTGTTGGAAGCAAACACTTCAAATATAAGGTGGAAGTCAGTCCCTAGTCTTCAAATTAGCACATACTTAAATTGGTTTCTACAAAGAACACAGAAAGTATCATTAAAAACCATTGACCTGCCATGAGAAAAAAACCCAGACATTCCTTCTTCTGCTCTCTCAGATGCAACCAGCACATTCTCCTGAGTCTTTTTGTGATGCCCCAGACAAATTTCAGTAAATTTTTAAGCACTTATTTTTTTGCAAGATGGGACACTGATACAGGCTCCAGGCACTTATCTCCTAAATCATCTTTGTTTTCAAAATGTACTAACTGAAGTCTAGCTTACCTTGATCAGAGATGGCAGCAGCAACCATGCTATAAGCAAGCATTTCCACTTAAGCAAATTTGTGCTAAGACACATAAGTGGAGGCTCAGCAGCAAGAAAACGTATTTTCCTTGTTCCTCTTAACAATATACGATCTGGCTCCTTCCTGTCTGTGGTGGTTTGACCCTGGCTGGACACCAGGTGCCCACCAAAGCTGCTCTGCCACTCTCCTCCTCAGCTGACAGGGGAGAGAAAATAAAACAAAAGGCTTCTGAGTCAAGGTAAGGACAGGAAGAGATCACTCATGGAAAAATCAGTTTTTACTAATCTAGAGTGGGGGAAAAAAAATCTTTAAGAAAGAAACCACCTTCCCCCACTCCTCCCTTCTACCTGGGCTCAACCTCACTCCTAATTTTCTCTACCTCCTCCCCTTCAGCAGTGCAGGGGGATGGGGAAAAGGGTTTGGGGTCAGTACCTCACACACTGTCTCTGCCACTCCTTCCTCCTCATGGGGAGGATTCCTCACACTTCTCCCATGCTCCAGTGTGGAGTCCCTCCAATGGGAGACAGTTCTCTGTGAACTTCTTCAGTGTGAGTCCTTCCCATGTACTGCAGTTCTTCATTAACTGCTGTAGTGTGGGTCCCTTCCACAGGGCACGGTCCTTCAGGAACAGACTGCTCCAGTGTGGGTCGCCCACAGGATCATAAGTCCTGCCAGCAAACCAGCTCCAGAGTGATCTCCTCTCTTCACAGGGCACCAGGTCCTGCCAAGAGCCTGCTCCAGCATGGGCTTCCCATGGGGTCACAGCCTTCTTTGGGTATTCACCTGCTCCAGCTTGGGGTTCTCCACAGGCTGCAGGTGGATCTCTGTTCCTCCATGAACCTCCATGGGTGCAGTGGCACAGGTGCCTTCACCACAGCCTGCACCACGGGCTGCAGGAGAATCTCTGTTCTGGCACCAGGAGCACCTCCTCTCCTACTTGGCCATGCAAGACTTGTCTCACTTGAAAAAATGCCTCCTCCAAAGTTTCACATCTATTGCTTTCTCCATCCTCTAAGAAAGATTAGTACTACAAAGATTAGTATACTTTAGCCATAAAAAACTAACGAGTTTTGTAGCTCTGAAAAAACAGGCCCAGCCAGGATAGAGGGTTTAACTATCAGCTTGAAATACCAAACAGCACTGGGGTCTTCCAGTACAGATTTACTGCATTGTGGTAACAGATCATTGTTCTGAAGTATCATATCTATGTGAGTGGAAATTATCACCAAGACCAATCCAATTTCTGTAAAAACACCAAGTAGAAACAGATATTATACCTGAAATAAAACTCAAGGTCACACTGTAAACCCACACTGGTGTCCCACATATACTGCATATCTGCTGCCCAAGTCCTGTTTTTTTCATGTTTATACATTCTGATTTAAGTGCCACAGTAATGACTTTGCAGTCATAAAAATGCTCAACAGTCCAAGTCTGTTTTAATTACAATTGATGATTAGATGTCTAATTTCTAGTCTTTCCTTTCACATTCTTTTATTCCACCATTAAAGAAAGCACATTGTGAGGCATTTATGTTTGTATATACTATTGTCCTGACTCCATGTCTAGCCTAATAAATTCATTAGCAAGACAAGTTGTACTAATGTTGGCTCTGCATCTCTTTCATTAAAGCTTATTATTTCCTTTTCTTCCTTACTTAACTTGTCCATGTTAGAACACATTTAGCATTTTTGCTTTTTCATCCACTTACAAAATGGTGGGCTGGACTAGTGCTGACAGCCAGGACCAGCATTATTGCTGTGCTCGTGCATCCTTCTTGAACAGGAAAACAAGGTCAACTGATAGTCCAGATTCTCCATGTGACCAGCACAAGGCAGGATGGGTGGAAGAAATGGGCCTTTTTCAGCAGAAAAAGTACACAGGAAACTATCCAATATGTGTGAATGTATGTGCACTTCAAATCTGGGAAATAACTTACAAGAGGAATCTCTCAGAAGTGAGGAAGGGGAAGAAGAAAAGGATATCTAAGCTTTACTAAGGCAAAAAACCAAACCAACAACCAAAAAAACCAAACCCAAAAACCAAAACAAATCAAAATAAAAATTAACAACTCCTATGAGAGCACCCCTGTGAGAACTGCCTCTAATCTAAGGTTTGGCCCAAATAAAACTTCATATTTGCTTTGCCATATACTAGGTTCAGGTTCTTTCCTCACAGAAAGATTGTGGATCATGTCCTAGGTACATATGCAGCAAAGACAGACCTACCTACATAAAGAGCAACTATGATGAAGCCAAAAGTAAATAATGGCAACACTGCTGAATGTAAAGTTAAAAACAGAGATAATATTATTCCAAAGTTAAGAAACTTACATTTTGACTGTTTTTCTTCTTCTTTTGGAAACAATGGAAAATGTTCCTCCTTCCTTAGAGGAAGAGTCCTCTGCAAGAGTCCCTGGAAAGCCCAAGAAACTCAGCTAAAAGTAAGCGTTGATCCTATTGTGAGAAGGAGGCTGGGCTAGATGATTTTCAGGGCCTGATCAGGCCCATGATTTTTGTGAACTGCCTTTCTACAGCCTTGAATAGCCTTTGAAGTTACTTTCAAAAAAAGCAGAAATATCTAGAGTTCATTAGAAAATCAGAACTTCATAAAGTTGCAGCTATGTCTGTACAGCTTCTACTTTCACATCTAGCAAACATATTGCTGTAATGCATGATGCTGCCTCACATTGTGCAACGTCCACATCCTCTTCCCTACGACCTCGGAAGGATGAGCTGCCTTATTCCAAACTAGTTAAATGACAGGTATCATTAAACCCAGTTCAACTAAAGTAGCACAAAGTTTCATCTTGATTAAAATTATATACTTCAGTAAAGTTTATTGTGCTGGTGAATTATATTTATAAATTTATTGCAGATCAAACAACTCCAATTAAACACGAATGGGTGTGTGTGTACATACATACATAAAGCCAGTTTAACTAAATACAAAATTTTAAATATATCATTAACCATGGGTTTATGTGCACAGAAGGCTGTAGCTTGGCCCTCTGGGATCCTAACACTCTCTTTTATTAACCTTTTTACCACATGGGGACTGTATTTATATACAAGTACTAATGTATGAATTTGCAAATATCATCAATATTTAATTTTCTACAAAGTGTCTATAAATTACATCAAGTCAAGACAGCCCTAGGTAGACATGGCAAGTCACTTAAGTAAGAAACACAGACTTTAACAGTAATCCCCATTTATTTCAGAAACAATATATTAAAGAAATATGTGACCTGTGCACCCACAGATTCCATAAATAGTTTGATATACAATTTGTATTGTGCAACCAACTCACAAGACACATAGGTTCCAAAGTGCTTAGTAAAATAATAGAAGGTTGTGGTTCCCATTTTACAGCTGGAACAGCTGAAACAGAAAACTCATGTGGTTTGTCTGAGGTCTTATTGAAAATCAGTGTCACAAATGTGGGAAAAGGCCTGAGACTCCTGACTCTCAAACCAGTCTTAAGCCACAGATGACTTGACAGTGACTAAATTTATAAACAGAAAGTGAGAGCAAAAAGTGACTTGTTTCTTTCAGATCAAATAAGGAGCGTGGATATGAGACATGGTCATTACTGCAGCAACTTGTAGAACAGTAAGGCCAGATGTCCCGAAGTTACTTGTGGGAAGAGGCCTCATAATAGAAGACAGATGGCTAGAAAGAAGACAGTGGCATGGAGAAAGCTAGACCCCAGGGTCCACTGGAACCACCAAAACTGAACTTCTGGCAGAGCAGTATTCCAGGGAAGTCCCCAAAATGCCAAGTGGCATTTCTAAGTTGCAAGGGGTTCTGCAGAGACCCCTACACTAGCAAACACTTCCTGCATGCTGTAGCATGCTGTAGCCTCATCTGCAAGGAGGCTCCAGAGACACTTCACTATCTGAAGATCTGGGAGGGCCACGGTAAGCAGGGGCTGTTGGAAAATACTTGCTCTACAGCTAAACTAGGCCTCATTCAGGCTCCTGTCAGCCTGGGATCGTGGTGGCACAAAGCCACGGACTTGCACAGAAAGACACTCTACACAGGGTCATAATTTCTGCAATATGGCTATTCTTATGGTTACTGCTCAACTTCACACATTCTGCACTTCAACATAGCACCACACTGCTCAACACTAACTAGAAATAGCACTTGTTATCCACTATGTATAGATTGGGATTTCACAGAAGGATATTTCTATGGGCAGAGATAGAAATGAAGATTTATCTCTTTTGGCATGGATTCTACCCTAGGGGGCTGCAGAGACTGCCCTTAGAACACACTTGTAACTTTGAAGAATAGCATTGCACAATTCTGTTTCAACCAACTATCACAGATTCCATAGCATTGCACAGCAATGCTGAGCACATGCTTCACAAAAGGAAAAGCAACGCACAGGTGAGTTGGGAGAAGAGAACAATGCTACAGACAATGCAGTACACAGGGATCTTCTTTCCCTTATATGACATCCAGTCATATTCACATTGCAAAGATCTGTGCAGCTCCCACAGATGAGAAGTTTGAAACTTCAGGTGAGGTCACATGGCTCATTTGGTGTCATGCTGATCTCTTGGTTTTGTCTGTGAGATGGGCACTTGCAGTTTTCCTGAGGTAGCAGACACAGAGGTCTTTGTTTCATTCCTTTAAGAAAAGTGAAGGAAAAGGGGACAGGCAGACAGACGTGTTGGAGTTTCTTATGAAAGACACAAACACACTTGAAGTAAAACACATTTCTGAAATACTCCTTTGGGACAAACAATGCCACAGCCCCCAAAAGAAAATTTCACCTCTCAGAATCACCCTGAAGAACTATTACAGGTTTATTGTGGCAAGTTACAAAACAATTAATCAGAGAGGCATAACTTTTCATAAATAAACAGCCAGGCACCTGGCTCTCCAGGGGCTCGAACTTTATACAGAATGGATGTTTTGCTCACTGACATCCTGCAGCAGACAAGGCAGAGGAACTGTAGGTGCTGTGCTACAGCAGGACACGGCAAGGACAGGAGAGAGCACAGTGCTGCTATAGCAAGGCATTCGTAGAACTTAAGTGCAGAAAGCGTTTGTCAGAGGACAAACGTACCCACTCCTTCTGTTGTTCTGCCACTTTTTCAGCCAAGCATTTTACCAGAACAGGGTCTACTTTGGAGTCAATCTTGTTGGCGAACCAGTGCCCATAATTCAGAAGCCATCTTAATTCTCCAGCCCCGTAGATGCAAACACTGCGAAGGTGGGTACCAGTGCACGGAGGATACAAATAATCTTCAAGATAATTCCATTTCACCAGACGAGTTTTGCTTTGTAAGTCTGTTATGTCCTGAGATGACCTTGGAACTTCCCCAGGGACCCCAGGAACACGTACAAGAGTGGCCCAGAAATGTTCATCTGGAGAATATGTGTCCCTTGACCACTCAAAAAAATCTTTTGCAAGTGAGCTTTCAAGTGTATATTGAATAAATTCTCGGCTTAAAACAAAATAGGCACTGCCTACAAATACTTCAATATTATGAGGTGGCGGATTCTTGGAAATGTTGGTTTTTACAGGCATCTGCATGTATTCATAAGGCACTTTCATAAGTTCATAGTGATAAGTAAATCGTTCTCTTTTGCTACTGCTTGGCTTTGTAGTTTCCAGCATGTTTCCTCCACCAAGTTTCTTCAGTTCAGCAACCAACTCGAAATTTGACCTCAAAGGGAAATCTTGACCACACAAATTGATAACATACTTCCAAGGGACTGGAGAGCCCATCAAATCAGACAAACAATTGAAATCCGCTTGCAGACGTGAAATATGTGCATAGTCCACTGTCTCCAGCTTTGATGCAATGAAAATATTTGGGAAACATTTAGCCAGATTTTTCAAAGCAGATTTGAAACTTCTTGCTGCTTTTTCATCATAATGGATGCAGTAAATATTTTGATGACTGTACAATGAATGTATGAGCCTTTCTACCATTACTGCATCTTTGTGAACAACTAAAGAATAGGCAATTGGAAAACTCTCCTCCTCTGGAGAAACAGGTTTTAGGTGGTATTTCCTAAGAGAACGATACACATGGCAATCACTTGTCATTGCTACAACATCTTCATCAGCTAAGTCAACTATTTCTTTTCTTCTTATCTCTAAACTCTTGCCAATTTCATGAGGATCTTGTTCATATATAGATGAACAATTAATTTCATAGTGGAACACATTTCTAGGATATGAATACCTGTTTCTAACATAAGAAGAAGTGCTTAAGAAGTGCTCAACCAAGTAAATGCCCTTAGAAGGAAAAAAGTGTCTTTCAACATGGAGGATCTTCAGCAGTGCAATCAACCACCCAGTAACACAAAGGATCAGGATGTTCCTTTGTGAGGGGTATGTGTAGGGCCACTTTCGTCTCTTCATTCTGCAAGAAAAGAGACACATGGAGTTATTTTAAATCAGAAAGAAATCATCAGAGACAATTCCAGCTTCTAAGAAAGACATGCACACATGAGTAAGCCTACACCATAAACACCACCTTATCAGGATAGGGCACTGGTAATCCACAGTTTCTTCTTAATCATCATTTTAAAATTTCATTCCCCTGAATTAGCTGATTGAAGGTAATAAACTAAAAAAAACACTCGGATTTAAGATGATTTCCAGCTGAATAAGAGTGTTGGAACAAGGCTCCTACTGTTTCCTTTCCAAACCTTTTTAAAATTTCTAATGAGTTACAAACTGAAGTACAGCAACCCCTGGATTGGCATAAACATCACTGTCCTATAAGTGAGTAGGAAGGATTGTTTATTTTTCTGGGTATGGGCACTCTTCGCGAATGATGATCCGGGAAAGGTCTCTACCCACATTTGTTACAAGCGCGCTGGGCTTTGCAAATGCAGGTAAGGCCTTCGAGCCCATGCAATGGATTTTTTAGGTGAGACACAGTGTGCGCTGAACTGAGCCCACCCTTTAATCCTAAGGTTCATCTGCCAGGGCTGAGCGAGCTTGGACAGTGGCAGCGAGGTCCTCAGGATGTAGGTTTGTTTAGAGTGACCTTCTCTTAGATGGATGGCCTTACAGGGCTGACAAGCTCCATCTGCCCGGGTTTAGAGTTGTCCTTCTCTTCTGTGTGTTCTGGGGCTCCCCTCTCATCTCCCATGATGGCACTGTCTGCACAGGCAAAGCTCCCATTTTCTCGCTCCTTTCTGCACCCGGGGCCGGGCCCCAGCGCCCGGGGCCGGGTTCTGAGTAACTATAAGGGGTTCAACAGGAGCAGCACTGGGATCTCTTGTGAATTTGCAAAGAATGTGTGCTTAATGGTAGATATTAGCATTTTTAAAAAATAAAGCATGGAACTGAAAGTTTCAGAATTCAAGCAGGTCATTCTCATTCTCTCTAACACTGGAGCCAGCTCATAAAAACGTCCAAGGAGATATGAGTTTCTTTCCTGTCCTCACCCAACAGGATCTGGCCAGTCCGAAGTCCTTTCTCAGTTCAGGTTTCTCTTGGAAAATAGTGCTAACTTGCCCTTAAGAAAGAAGTGGATGAATACACAATACTTTCATCCACTGGTATGAACATATAATAAATGTAACCTTTAGAAGACAGAAGAGGTAGCAAGTGAGCAATACTACACCTATCCTGCTCTTTTTCGTGTGACACAACCTTTGATCTGACTGCAAAAACACATGGCCCCTTTTCATACAGCAGGTTATTTAATAACATTCCTGTGTAGCAAGTTAACTAAGGTATTAGTTAACCATAATAACCATAATAAAAGCTAAATACAGATATCCTCTTTTGATACAGGTTTGCTTTAATGGCTGAGTGCTGAGTACTGAGCAAGCAACATTGTTGCTATCCCTGAATGAACATCAGACCAGAATCATATACAATCCAGCATTAAACTAAGCTCTACTTCATCTTTACATCAAACATCTTCCAGTATTTTCTTTTGAATAAAAGCTGTTCCAGAATGCTTCAGAGTCAATAAAAGGTAAGGCCAGCAGAAGTGGCTCAGATGCCTGAAGATCCCACACATGCACGTAAAACCAAGTACTGAGCTGTGCATGCAAACATACTGCAAGACTAACTTGGGCATCTTTAGCATTTGCATAAATGTCAGGTCTTGCAAGCTGTAAGTTCATTTAAATAGCAGCCTGTCAAGGCAGAGCTGCTTCATTAGTCTGTTCTCCCTGACCTTAGCTTTCCCTGTGTATCTTTGTCCTTGATATTTCTCTTCTGGGGCAAGAGAAAGGAGGAGGAAATGTCATCTCCTTGTTTCACCTAGAAGTGCCAGGTGCAGACCAGGGTAAGCCAACATTTACCTGTTTTGTAGAAGCCAAAGCTCAGCAGCTCTCTGCAGGTTTTACAAACAGTCTCCAGGTAACAAAGAAAAAATCCAGATCTGTCTCATAGAATCATAGAATGGTTTGAGTTGGAAGGGATCTTAAATATAACCTCATTCCAACCCCCCCAGCCACTGGCAGGGGGGGTGCCAACCTTCCAGTAGACCTTGAACACTTCCAGGAATGGGGAATCTACAACTTCTCCGGGCAACCTGTTCCAGTGCCTCACCACCCTCACAGTGAAGTGAGGTGTTCATATCCCCATGAAGCTGAAAATCCCACCTTCCCCTTTAGCCAGCACATGCTTTCCTTCACATCTTCTCCAGACTTATCCCAGCCCAATGTCTAATCTGGATCTCCCCTTTACCTACTTCCTTCCTTTATCTGTGTTCCTGGAGAAAAGTCACTCTCAAAAGCTGCTCCTAACCAAAGGCAGGTTTTCAGCCATAGGACAAAAGCCCTGTAGAGGGGAACACAGCTAACCTGCCCGTACTTTTTTCTTTGGAGGGAGAAGACCTGTGTGGTGTGACCTTTTTGTGAACCCCACCCTGTGCGTCTGCCGAGTGATCTCCCTGGCTACAAAGGACAACACTACCAGTCCTGGCTGGACAGTGATTGCCTAACCCAAGGAGCAAATCTTCTCTTATTCTCTCCTTCAAAAAGGTGAGTCTGGAGAAAGAAAAAGGAGGGGAAAAAACCAACACATCCTCCACTGCTCCAAAGCCTCTCTATCTATGGCCTGCCTCAACCCAGTGCCAAACATTCCGTTGCTACTAAACCAAACAAAGCCATAGAATCTTAGAATGTCCTGAGTTGGAAGGGACCCACAAGGATCATCGAAGTCCAGCTCCTGGCCCTGCAGAGGACACCCCAAAAATCATGCCATGCCCCTCGCAGGGTTGGTGCTGTGACCACTTCCCTGGGGAGCCTGTTCCAGGGCCCAGCCACCTGCTGTGTGAAAAATCTTTTCCTTATATTTAATTTAACCCTTCCCCCTGACACAGTTTCATGCTATTCCCTCCCTGGGTCCTGTCACTGGTCACCACAGAGAAGAGATCAGTGCCTTCCCCTCCTCTTCCCCCCGAAGAAACCTGTAGGCCGCGATGAGGTCTCCCCTCAGTCTCCTCCAGGTTGAACACCCCAAGGGACCTCAGCCACTCCTCAAACAGCTTCCCCTCAAGGCCCTTCACCATCTTCGTTGCCCTCCTTTGGACTTTGTTGACCTCCTTCATTGCCCTCCTTTCTTATATTGTGGTGCCCAAAACTGCACACAATGTTCAAGGTGAGGCTGCCCCAGTGCAGAGCAGAGCAGGACAATCCCCTCCCTTGACTGGCTGGCAATGCTTTGCCTAGTGCCCCCCAGAACACGGTTGGCCCTCCTGGCTGCCAGGGCACTGATGACTCATATTCAATTTGTCCTTAACAAGGACCCCCAGGTTCCTTTCCATGGGTCTGCTCTCCCAGCCTTTTCTATCCCAGTCTGTCTGTACATCCAGGGTTGCCCCGTCCCAGGTGCACAATCCTGCACTTTCCCTTTTTCAATTTCATATGGTTGCTGATTGCCCAGTCCTCTAATTTGTTGAGGTCTCTTTGCAGGGCCTCCTGGCCTTCAACAGCCCCTCCCACTTTAGTGACCAAGTTTACTTGTATCCTTTCCAGTCCTGTATCCAAGTCATTTATGAAGCTGGCACTGGCCCTAAGATGGAGCCCTGTAGAACCCCACTAGTGACAGGTCACAAGCCTGATGTTACCCCACTTACTGTAACCCTTTGTGCCCTTTGTGCCATCAGCCAGTTGCTCACGTGTTTATCCAGCTGTGTGCTGGACATTTTGTCCAAAAGTATACTGTGAGAGACAGTATCAAAAGCTTTACTGAAATCCAGAAAGATTACATCAATTGGCTTCCCTTGATCAAACAGGTGGGTTACCTCATCAAAAAAGGGAATTAAGTTTGTCAAGGAGGGCCTTCCCCTCATGAATGTGTGCTGGCTGTGACTGATGACTGCATTGTCTTTCAGGTATTTTTTAATAACTTACAGCATAATCTTCTTCATAATTCAACCAGGCACTGAAGTGAGACCAACAGGCCTGTAGTTACCAGGGTCATCCCTCTTGCCTTGAAGAAATTCTTCCTGATATCCAACCTGAATTTTCCCTGGCACAGCTTGAGGTCATTTCCTCTTACCCTGTCACTAGTTGTGTGGGAGAAGAGGCCAACTCCCACCATGGCACAGCCTCCTTTCAAGTAGTTGGAGAGAGCGATAAGATCTCCCCTGAGCCTTCTCTTTTCCAGGCTAAATACCCCAGCTCCTTCAGCCACTCCTCAAGGGACTTTCTAGACCCTTCAATAGCTTTGTTGCCCTTCTAAACCATTTGACTCTCACCAGGATAAAGTTAATTTCTGCAAAAGACTGGGATTTCTTGAGGAACAGTGTATGACCAGGGAATTAAATCCCGTGGGACAGAAGTGCCACTGCAAATCTCAGTAGGTTTTGGCTCAAGTGCAAAACGTTTATGTCTTCCCACATGCAGCTCTCAGAGCCCTACTGAAACCTAGACATTCTCTCCAGAGGAGCAGGAAATGGATGAATGTGGCAGATGAAAATAGGAACTTATACCTACCCAAAGCACCTATCTTGGGTAGCACTGACCAGATGCCAACTCCAGTTATCCTGCCCATGCAAATTTTTTCCTTAGTGTCCTAGTTAGAACAGCTGGGACCAATTCATCACTGGATGGGTGTAGCCCAAAACTGTGTATTCTATAGCCCTCCATGCCATTTCCCAGTAACTGTTGTCAGTAGAGGCCTGCGAGGTGGCCCCCTCCCCCCCATGCTCCTGTCCTCATGCCCTTTTGTGGAATTCCCTGACTGAGCACCCTCATACCCTTTTATGGAATTCCCCACTCTGAGGGAAGGACTGAATATCCTTTTATGGAATTCCCCGCTCTGAGGGAGGGACTAATCATTCCTGCCTGAGCTGGAGAATATATAAACCTGG